AGAGGATATGATATTGCCAATACAGTTTGGAGCCAAAAATAAATCCCAAGGAACTTGCCTGAAAATCGGAATTGGATGGGAGCATCAAATAGGAAGAGTGAAGGTTGGGAGCCTCTACGTGAACGAGAAAAAAGGATGGAAAAGGTTTTAGAGGTAGAAAATCGAAAGCCGTCGCTGGTAGCCCAGGAAGAAATTGATATCATTGCCGACTGGAGGAGCTGATGGAGGGTTGGTGTGGAAGGACCAGAGGCACAGATAACCGGATTCCTGGTGGTAGAGCTGAAACTAATCCGTTTACAGCAATGGGAAACGATGTGGCACTGAGCACACTGCCGTGTGGGACACCTTCGAACTGAGGGAAAGAAGAGGAAGCAGAAGAGACTTATCTGCCATTGGAAGATAGGTATTGAAGGATATGGTGCCGTCATGCAGTATCATATGCCTTTTCTAGATCGTCTGGGCCGTCATCGGTATTGCGACATGATTGCAATGCATAAGATATTTCAGAAGAAGAAAAAGGTACATTATAAGATTCTGTAGAGGAGAGAGAGAAGGGAAATGGAAAGGTATGCCAGTCAGCTCAGTCACAGCACCAGCGAGGGGGATTGGGAAGTGGGACATAGGAAGTAGGCGAAAGCAGAATAGGGAAGTGATTGCTAGTGGGAAAGTTGTCTAGAACTGACCAACGGAAGTCTAGATGAAGGTTAGGAAAGCCAAGAGAAAGGTCAAGGCATGAGGATTGGGTACGCAAGTCTCCAACTATCGGGGAATGTGGTTGGAGTTGCGAAAGTAAGGCTTCAAAGGTTATAAACTCAATAGGAGAAGAAGGGACAGAAATAATTGTGATCCAGTGGTGGCGAAAAGTGCGGATAACTGTGCAAGGTATAATGGTTTGTAAGAGAGATATAACATATGAGTGTGAGGGAATGCTACAAAATGGTAATTGGGAATAGGTATTGGAGGATGTGTGAGGGAGGTATCTTGGAGGCAGACAATGGATGAGTTATAAGAAGATAAGATGACGAAGATAAAGTCTGTGAGAACCAATACCTGAAGGATCTAAGGGATTGGGATGAGGTAGGAGAAGATGGGGTGGAACTTTTGGATTGTCTGGTGCAATAGGTAAGGCGCGAGGCACTGGGGTAGTTGTGGATATTGTCTCTGGATTTAGAACGGAAAAAAAGGATTAGACTGAGAGATGGGGGAAGTAGAGATGGGAAGTTGAGGAGTAAGGGAAAGTGTTACTGAATAAGATGTAGAGATTATTTGGGTGGAGGGGATAAGAGTGGAGTGAAGGATGGTATTGGAGTAGGGAGTCGGCGTGCTCCTTGTCTAGACTCAGATGAAATTTTAACAAGATGTGACCGGTCGGGGCAAATGCGGAAGGAAACTTTGCCTACTTGATTTTGAAGACATTGTTGAAAGAGAAAGGTATTATTAGAATAAGAGGCTGTTAGGGGAATTACAAAAAATCGGTTCCACTCAGCTGGGCTAAAGAGTACTCAAAAGATTTGTAGTAGTAGAAATTGTACAGAGTGTGGATGTGAGGAGGGAGTGGTGTGGAGTGAGATAGTACTATGGCAGTGAAGGCAGTAAAGTTGAAGAGTTGTAATAAGGGAGGAGGAGGTAGATGATGATGACTGTGCAGGAGGTGGGTTGGAGGATACTAGGAGTGAGGAAGAAGAGTCTTTTGACATGGGTAGATGATTTGGGTTGGATCAAGTTGACAGCACATGTTAAGGAGGGTGGTGTAATAGCAGTAGTTGGGGCTGTGATCAAAGGAGAGTCAGGGGTCAGTAAACCAGAAGAGTTAGATGAGATTATAGTTCATATAAGGGCAAGCCTCCATGCCCCTACTAAGGGTACAAAATCTTCATTACTGACTACAGAATAGTTAGTAATGAAGCCTGAAATATGTTGGGAAAATTACAACATGACTAACACACCTTAGGATAAACAGGGGAAGGGTTGGAGAAGACATGAGAAGGAAAGGGAAAGAAAAGACCATGAAAAATTAGTTGAGGCAAGGGTTGAGGCTCAAGGTAGGGGAAATCCCCAACATTGGGCCTTACTTTCCGTCTCCTAAGCCCCCTCAAGACAGCAATGGGAAAGGGATTGAGGGGTGAACTCTTTCTAAAATACATAATGATTCACACAATTTTGAGCCTTATTTTAAAATTGTATAGAAGCTCTACTTTGTGATAACAACGTTGATGTGGAATAGTTATGTAAAAATATTGGCTTAAGCTCCTCCCAGTTCAGAGTGAGTTTGAATGATGTTTAGTTAATGGTTAAAAGCAAGATAAATGTGCTAGACATCTAAGGTCATGTAGCACTATAGTTAATGTTAGTGAAGGGTGGTTGAGTTAGTGATTAGTTGTCTAGGCTGGGCAAAGGAATTAGTGAGTGAAAGGGTTAAGGTCGGGTGTTATATTAGATAAAGGGTATGCATAAGAAAGGTTTTTTGAAGGCATACAATAGATGGGTTATAAGAGGAAAGGATATGATGGTCAGGTCTGTGGGAGCGGAAACCGCGAATATTCCAATGAAGGATAGTTATACTTTCGTTGATTTAGTGATATAGATTGTAGTACGTGTTGGAGAATTTGAAGGGGAAGCAGCTAGAGGGTGGGATAAGGACTGAGAGGTTTGAGATGGGAGAGGTGTGGGAGTTGGTGTTCTATCAGGAGGGGTATTAGGAGATGGAGGGTCTGAGGAAGGGGATACTTGTGACATAAGGGATTCTCGTGTGTATCCAGGAGGGAGTGGAAGGGATAGAGGGGATGGTGGGAGAGTTAATGTGGGCAGGGTTGGGGTCAGGGGGGATGGGCTGTGTTGGGAGGGGGTAGGAGGGTAGGGTGTAGGGGGGATATCGTTAGGAGGAGGATGGATATCAGCAATTACTTGGAGTGTGGAAGGAGCAGGAGTTGTAGGTTGAGTGTCGGTTTTCATTAAGTAATCTTGAATATTTTCAATAGTTTCTTCTGTGGAGTTGGTTGGGGAGTTTTGGGGGATAAAGGATTTCTTGTGAGGGGGGGAAGAGAGGACTGGTGTCTCAAGAGTACGGGCAAAGGATGATGGGGATGATGGGGGTGATTGTGTGGTAGGGGAAGAGGGGGTGGAACGTTTGTTCTGTCTGTTACGGGGAGTGCGAGGAGGGAGAGGGGAAGGTGTTGGGGTTGTAGTGGTGATTGGAGTATCTGTAGTAGAGATTGGAGTTTCTGGATTTAGGGTGGCAAAAGAGTTTGACTGGGGAAGGTAGGTGGGGTTAGTGGGGGGGTTAGATGTAGGAGGGGTGGGTTTAGGAGAAGTGTTAGAATGAGCAGTATTACTGGAGTAAGGAGTAAGAGAGAATCCACGTCGACGTGCTTCCTGTCTGGCTTCACGCAGTGTGAGTCCGAGTTTGAATCTGAGAGTTGCTACCTCAGATTCAAATTTGTAGGTGGGACAGCCCCTATAAAATACATTATGGGGGCCGCCACAGTTGGCACATGTGCGTGATTGTGCAGAGCAGTTAGATCGGGTATGGCCAGGTTGGGCACATAATGGGCATCTGGCTGTGGAACGGCAGTGTTTGGCTGGATGTCCTAGACGCCAACAATTTTGGCACTGACGTGGAGGAGGTTGGTATGGACGAACAGGGAGGAATTCTCCTCCTATGTAGACGTTAAAGGGAAGGTCATGTCTACGGAAGGTAATTTTGGCTATGTTAGTGGGTTTCTTTCGATGACCTCTGGGGGGGATGGAGTAGCATTGTACTGATGTTGCATCGTAGTCTGTGAGACAGGCAAGTAGATCTTCTCCACAATCTGACCAATCTTTGTCATAGATTGGGCAATTTGTTGGTGAGATTGAGACTGTTCCGGTGCAAGTATTGAGGGTTGGATGGGGTTCTGCTAGGATGGGGTTACCATATAGGTCAGTTAGTTTTGTTAGTGCTATGGCTTGGTTTTCGGATGTTACTGTTACAAGACGGGAGCGGTCGGGTCGGCTACGGAAAGAGACTTTACCTACTTGTTTTTGGAGGCATTGTTGGAAAAGAAGGGTGTTGTTCGAGTAGGGAGCTGTGGGAGGGATCACGAAAAATCGGTCCCATTTGGCTGCACTGAAGAGAGTATTCAAGATTGTTTTAGAGATAGGGGTGGTAGAAGGGCGAGGGCGTGACGAAGATGGAGTAGTGTTGATGGAGGTAGTGTTATGGAGAGGTGGGCTATAAGGCTGTAAGGTATTAATAAGGGAGGATGGGGTGGTTGATGTTGGAGGTTGTGGGGGTAGAGGTGTTGAAGTTGGGCATGCTGGGAGAGTGGAAATGTTCCTTGAGGGTTGATTGTTGGCTACTGTACTAGTAGGCATTGGTGAAGGGGTAGTTATTGCAGTGTTTGGAGCCGTGGTCAAAGGAGAGCCTGGGGTCGGGGAATCGGGTGGGTTTACTTCGTTGCGGCTATTTGATAAAGGGGCAAGCCTCATTGCCCCTAACAGTGGGGATATATTTTCATTACTGGCCATGGGAAGCCTGGATTATGTTGGGGATAAAAGCAGTCCACCCCTCAGGGTCCCCTTGAGGGGTAAGGGCTAGATAACTAAATCAGGGGAATACCGTGCCCATGGCTCCCTCAGGCCGTTCAGGACTGGCACAAAGTCAGCCTTTCATCCTTTCAGCACGGCTCTCACACCTTAGGAGGTGGATAGCAGAAGGGTTTGGTGAAGGGACAGAAACAAAAGTGGGAAGGGAAAAAAAAAGACCATGCATAATTAGTTGAGTCGAGGGCTGAGTCCCAAGGTTGGGGAGTTCCCCATCATTGGGTCCCAGTCTCCGCCTCCTAAGCCCCCCCACGACAACAACGGGCAAGGGATTGGGGGGGGTTTGAATGATGTGATACACTGTATTCTCTTGATCTTTTATTTGTCTGTTTCTGTTTATTTCATTCATCATCTTTTCATAATAATGTAATGAAAATATGTAATCTTATGAATCGGAAAGTAAAATCACTTGCTTGATTATTAAATCAACAATAATTTATTACATTACAGGTCACTGCCTTTGACATATCTGAACTCAAAATGCTCTATTCAGTTTCAGTTTGTGGGTTTCTAGTAAAAAACAAGAACTAAATATATTTTCATATGACTTAGTTAACAAGAACTGTTAAGTTTATTACTGTTTTTAATCCTATATACAAAATCTTTCAGGCCTAGATTAATGAATTCTAAGAAGCATTATTTTAACAGTACTCTTAGCTCATTTATTACAAAGAATATCCAAGATATTGTTCACACGATATTAAGATTAATATAATTATTTTTAGAGTGCGAAGAATATAGAATAAAAGGGGGATAAAACACACTAAACAAAAAAATTTAAATGCAAACAATCTAAATTCACAAAATACACAAAGAAATGTTAAATAATCTATTATATTCTGGGAATATTAAATATAGTTCACATTAATTTACACTACTTTGATATATAACTTAGACATATATTACAGTTTTTGTCAATAAAGAAAACTGAGGGTACCATTAACAGAAAACTTATTTAATCTATGGCTTTATGTTTTTGTAAATATCATGATAAAAAGAAAAAAAAAGAAAAAAAAAAAAAAAAATTCTGTGTTCGCTTCCACACCCATACACATAGACATGCTTACTTAATTCACTCACTTAGACAGATTTGCACATATTTTTCTACATTCTCTGTAACTATTGCATTAACAGCGATTGCTAATGAATTTTCCTGAGTTACAGTCGTATATATTATGAGGATCAGTGAGACACATGAGAAGGTAAGAAATAAGGTCTCTATGTTGTTTTCTAAAGACAACAACATAAAAAAGAACATATTCAATTCACATGAGATACTTTCATTGATAATGGCAGTATTCTGAGGACACTTTAAATGCTTATAAAAGAACCTTAATATTTGGACTTCGTGACAAAAGATACAATAAAACTCTCTTTGGACTGAGGGATAAATCGTACACAGACATATTTGTTTGTGTTACAAACAAAACTTATTTTTAACTTACTGGCAACAGGTACATGCACTATCCACAGTGTTTTTTTATTTATTTTTTTATCAATTTTGAATATCCATAGATGGCTTCATACGTTTTTAGTCATCAAGGAGTCAACTACTATGCCTATCTGATCTTGCCTGTTTCCTCTACTCCTTGAAATTTTATTGTTATTATTATCATTATTGCTGTGAACACTATTGTTATCATCACTGTCATTATAACAGCATTAACAATAATAATAGTACTATATATAAGAATCTCCCTTCAAAAAAATTCAAGGAAAGGTAATTACTGTGGTCAAGTTGTCACTAAGTGCTTCTGGACCATCTATGTTTCAGTAAAAATTTAAAAAAAATAAAAAAACACCATCAATAATGCATGCATACATCCACATTGGCATTAATGAGTTAATCCCAACAAATGCTCTGTAGCAAGATATCATTATAATGCTATAACCATCCCCGAGTTAGAAGCAGTTCATTTCTAACAGGTTCGTCTTCTGGATACTCTTGCTCGAGTTCTGTGTTGGGTATGTAGTGCGTTCCGTTGAACTTCTTGAAATATTTGCCAACATCTGAGTGCGTTATGGGTCTGGGATCTGGTGCAATTTCCAAATTCTCTTGTGCAGCATATCTAAAATGCAATGAAAATAAAAATTTAATCATTCACATACAAACAAATGCCCCACATATATACTAATACACATCATCAAGAACTATGTATAAATATCAATGATTATTAATGATAGACTTTACCTGTGTGAGCCATCATACACCAGTACATTGTAAAATGGCTGTTTCGTCTTATACAGGAGATTATAGACCCCCATTCGCTGCACCCAGTCAGATGGCATCCGGCACTCCTGCAAATCCATTAATTTTCATGCTACTTTAGTATATTCAACATAAAATAAGTTGTGAGATTAAAATAGTTATTTTTTATGCTCTTTTTTGTATTATGCCTATGTATGTACATCCATCTTAGTCAATCATATGCAATAAAAGTATATACATATTTTGCTTAATCTTAAGCCATTTACAAATATGCTTATTTATAGAAATTCAACATGTGTCATTCATTTTAATCATTTTGTAGATTATATAAATCTGCCTTTTGACTAGATCTACAACCTATCCATACTAAATTAATTTCATTATCAATTTTGTCTTTCACACCTTCATTTCACTTGATCAATCTTACCAACTCTCACCTTTACAGTTTACCTTTTCTCCTCATTCTCAACTCTCTTGCCTCTCATATATTTCTTTACTACAAGTGTCTGTCCTAACCTTATACCCTGCCCTTTGTCCTATTCTATCCCCTGTTCTTCCTTCCATCCTTCCACCTTTCTCTTCTTCTCTCATTCCTTCTTTCTTCATACAATCAGCAATAATGAGTGACAACATACCCTGTCCCAGCCAAAGATCACGCATGTGTAGTGGTAACGCTTGTGCTGCATAACCATTCCAATGGCAAAGGAAACTTCTCTGTATCTTGGATTAGGGCTAATGGGTCTCAGCACAACCTTCTGGCTTTCCAGAATGCGCTCGCAGTCTGCAAGCATCTCCTCTATTATTGTTGAAGGTCCTTGGGTCAGTAAGCGATGACATCCAGCCACGATGCGGTCGTAGTGTATTTCTAAAGTGTAGTATATTCTGTGGGTGAGAAAAGTAGTGAGAAGGTTACTGTGATTATATGAAAAATTACTGTGATCATATGGGAGAAGAAGAAGAAGAAGAAGAAGAAGAAGAAGAAGAAGAAGAAGAAGAAGAAGAAGAAGAAGAAGAAAAAAAAAAAAACTCTCTTACCTTAGCAACAGTTCTTGGATGCTGCGATCATTAGGAGTAAGAAGGCTCATGAGTTCCGTGGCTGAGCAGAACAACTCCATGTGGTCGGAAACATGAGCCTGCATCTGCGCCACGTTCATGATGTTCCTGATCATGCGTTGGAAGACTGACATTGCATCACAGGTTGTAAGAAGTACTTGGTCGCATACAGACCCAAGAGGAAGTTCCTTTAACAATTCTCGTCCTGTTAGCCGCCTTCCTTTGTTGAATGCATCTATGTATTCATAATCATCTACACTGAAAACCATAGAAGGAAATTTAAATATATATAGTCAATTTATATACCTAAGAGTTATCAGAATAAAAATCTAATTCTTAAGTCAATCAAAACATTCCAGATTCCCATGACTGTCCCTTAGTCAATTAGTATCAAGAAGAAAATGTCTGTGAAAGATAATGAAAACAGAGTAATATAATGAAGAGCAGCTCTTTCGTGGTTTCTTGTCATTCTCATATAAAGATGCAATTCTAAAGATTTCATATTCCTTACAGAATAAAGATGTGAAACAGAAAACTAAAAATAACTTTCAAATCTATCTTTTCCTCACTTTTCTTTCATGAAAGAAGTCTTTTGAACAAAAAAAAATTCAAAGCATCATAGTACATCACATTTAAAAAATCTTAATTAAAGAAATGTAACAATGAAAAAAAATGTACCAGCAACAAGAAACCACAGGTGAATTCCTTTCATCTTGATATCAACTCAAGACAAAAAAACAGGTAGATGCCAAGCTTGGAAAACATAGAAAGTAAATTTGGACTGGTAATCCCTTTTGTCACCCTAAAGACAGGTGAAAAAAATGGTAATTCAAAAAGCATATGAAAGACAAAATCAAGTAAGCAGAAACAAAATTGCCTACCTGGGCATCTTCCATTTCATGACAAAGTGTGATGGGTAGTTTACAGGTTCGAGCAATATGCCGAGGCGGTGGCATACAGCCATATATATAATGCTTAGTGAGATCGGTATACCTTTCTTGGAAGTGAGCACTTCATTTATTAATGAATTCTTGAGATTATAATAATCTTCACTGTTACCAGTCATTTTCATCTGGAAAACGACAAATTAAAATATACCAACAATGAACATCTGTGTAAATCTCATATATACAAAATATCAAGATTATAAAAGCCAGAACATGACAAAAGTGTACTCCTAATGCTTAAATCCCACAAGTATTAGGTATCATCAAGCCAAAATCATTACAGAAGTACAGGTGTACTTATGTAGTGAAATGAAAATGAAAGAATACAGAAGAGCTACTATAGGCTGGAAGGAAGTTTGGAAGTTTGATAATTTGCATAATTCTATTAAAAACCCCTATTCTATTCTGAAAATAAGAGGATATCCCAATTCAGAATGTAATCATATATCAGTTTCTAAGTCAATCATGTTATTATTATCATCCTTTTTAGGCTTACTTGATAATAAAGGATGTGATTAATACACTTAAACAGCTGCATTGTCTTCTCATAGGACCAGCGCGATTCCGTTAGGACTTCTCCAGGGGGTGTTAAGGGCACAGAGAGGGCTGGATGATCAGGGTGGTTAATTCGCAGCTGTTCGCGGCACTGCTCAGCTATATCGTCAATCACATTGGTCATCTACATTGGAAGGGGAAAGGAAATGCATATGCTGTAGTAATTTCCTTTAAAACCTTATATCAGTATCAGTTATAAAATATTATCTTTCCAAACTGTAACGTAGTTTTATCCCAATGCCGCTGAGGATGACATGCCATCCCCACCATGAGTTTAGTCTAATACTGGTCTTTACATATAGATGGCTCTTAAGTCACCTAGGAGTCAAGTGCCTTCAATCTCACCTCTACCCTTCTCCTTGATTTTTGGAAATATTTTAAAATCTTATATTGCTATTAGTAATGTTAATAACATTATGATAACTATAATGTCATTTTCTTGGCAGCATTGAATTAAAGCATCTATTAATTATGATTCTGAAAAATTTGGCCTATATCCATTTTAAAGTTAACAACCACAAAATATATTCTTCAGTATATATTCCTAATAAATATATGAGTAAACAAAAACATGGGAGAAAATAAAAAAAAACAAAAACCAATATCCTTTTTACTGGTACCTGTTTTATGCTAATGTCAGCGTGTGGCTGAAACCAACGAGCCATCAGGATTGCACCAACTTCAAGGCTCTGCTCAGCTGATGGACGGGCAACAAACTCCTCCCATTCGCGCCTGCATGCTCCTTGATGCACATGACTCATGACTCTTAAAGCATAGTACTTGTTTGTCATGTTGTCATATCTGGGGGGAAAAAAATAGATTTTCAATTTCATTTATGTGCTCTCAGTATAAATAATATTTGCTATATACACTGCAGTGCCAATCCAAAAATAAATCTATATAAATCAGGAACTTTTACAGCTGTAAAGACATTTCAAAAATTAAAGAAATGACATACATATTCCATCTGCATGCTACATGTAGTGCAAAAAATGACCAGGACAAAACATGGTTTCAAAACATGAGAAGTTCAATATGATGTAAAGTAATAACATGTGCAAAACCACAGCATGTAT